CCTTGGTGAGTGGACCTTGTACTGGACCAAATCTGGGACTAGCCACCACCTAGACTGACCACACTTTTCCCAGCCTTTGATGGTTATTTCTGAGTCCGCTAGTCCTGAGTCTTGGGGAGGCCATTCCCCAGACCTCATCTCAGGCCAGTGCTTGTGAAGAAAGATGCTAGTCTGCCCTCAGTACTCCTCCTCAGTGGAGTGTGGGGGCTTGAGGACATGAAAAAAAGGTATGTGTGGGTGTCCCATCCCCCTACCCCATGGATCCCAAGTCTGGTTACTATGCCGAATTCCCATCATTCCTGGCAGGATCCAAGACAGACTCAGATTGTCCTGGAACAGCACCCACACCTCCCTCTCCACGCTCTTCAGAGAACCATGAGAGGCTTTCCTCCACAGACTGCCCCCTTTCCCCTGTTCTTCCCTTGACCCTGGTTGTTAAACTGGAGGGGAAGCTCCTGTTTTCTTTGCTCCCTTTCCGTCCTGCTAGGAGGCTCTTGTGCAGTTGGCTGAGGGCCTGGGGAAGGGGAAGAGCGATGTCTTTTCTGGATAGGTGGGATGGTGTGGCTGGCTCTCCTTGTCCACTGCCCCTCCCCCCAGTCACTGGGTGAAGGTTCTTTCTGAGCCCTGGGTGCTACTCAGAGACCTTTACCTGCACTTTCATATGGCCCTTAGCACATACTGCCCTATTCCTTCATTTTTTTTTTTTTCTTTTCCTTCAGTTTTAAGATTGGTGACTGCCCCTCCTTGCTTCTGGTATTGTCATCATTGTCGTCATGATTATTAGCTAACACTATGAAGTTCTTACTGTGTGCCAGACATTAGGCTAAAAAATCACTGAAAGATATATATATATTTTTGCCACTTAATCCTCATTAACTGCCCTGTTTCACAGATGGGAAACCTGGGGCTCAAAAAGGTTAGACAATGTTTATTTGCCCAAGATCATATTGTCAGAAAACAATGGAGCCTTTTTTTTTTTAAAGCCAGAGCAGTTTGATATCTTCACCAGTATTTCATGCTGCTCTAACTATAAGCTTCTTACACAATAGTAAAGTGTAAGATTTGTAAGTGGAGATAGGCTAGTATCTTCCTCAGGGAGCTGATATGAGTTTTGAGTGTTTATACATAGTGGTTACAATAGGCCCTGACCCTTGGTACCAGTCAGCAAAGATACATTGTTATTGTTTTTGATGATATTTTTACTATTGTTATTATTATAACCATTACCCTGAGCCCTGCTGCTGCTTGTACTATTACTTCATTGCCAGGAAGAGGGCCTTGTGCACAGTGGAATGTTGTAAATTACCAGCAGGTGAATGAATGAGTGAATGAATGATGCTCTTTTTAATTTTTTTTTTAATTATAGTTTTACAATATTGTGTTAGTTTCTGGTATATAGCAAAGTGATTCAGTCTCTTTTTCCATTCTTCAAGGTAGGGGACCGAGTGATGGTGTTGATCAGGTCAGGCATGTGGCAGGAGGAGGTGACTGTGCCTTCAGCCCAGACATTCCTGATGCCTGAGACCATGACTTTTGAAGAAGCTGCTGCCTTGCTGGTCAATTATATCACAGCCTACATGGTCCTCTTCGACTTTGGCAACCTACGGCCTGGCCACAGCGTCTTGGTACACATGGCTGCAGGTAACAGGCACCCTCCATTTATCCCACCCAGATTTCCTTCCAGGCCCCTTCCCTGCTGCATGTCTGGACTGTTGTCATGGCAACACTGGCTGCCTCGGCCTATGGTGCCCAGAGGCCTCTGCAGTGTTGTTGCCATGGTAACACTCAGGCACCAGGTCCAACCTGGTATGCTATCATAGCAACGTGCCCTCGCCCAGCACCCCCTCCTTGGCAGTCTCCCTCCCCCGAGTTGTTAGTCTTGGAAATTAGACATGGGATGATGGAAGAAAGCCCCAGGATGAACCTCGGCAAAATGATGGGCTGGATCCTTGAGAGGTGGAAATGGGGAGTGGTGGCTAGGCGACCCCATATCCCCTCCTTAGAAAGTGTCTTGCTTTAGGGGGTGTGGGTATGGCTGCCTTGCAGCTGTGCCGGACAGTGGAGAATGTGACCGTGTTCGGAACGGCTTCAACCAGCAAGCACGAGGTGCTGAAGGAGAATGGAGTCACACACCCCATCGACTACCACACGACTGACTACGTGGATGAGATCAAGAAGATTTCCCCCAAAGGTCTCAGGGAATGGGAAGGGCTCGGATGGCATGGGGCTAGGGAGGTGGGGCATCTCCGGATCTGTGACTCCTAATGCTCTTCTTGGGCCCCCTACTCTGTGACAGGTGTGGACATTGTCATGGACCCTCTGGGTGGGTCAGATACTGCCAAGGGCTACAACCTCCTCAAACCCATGGGCAAAGTAGTCACTTACGGTGAGTGAGTGGGCCAGAGGTGAAGGGGGAGTTTGGGGAAGTATTGTGGGTCGGAGGGGTGGGATATTAGGGGCCCGGGGCTTTTGAAGGCAGAAGGTGTGGAGACTCCGGTGCTATGAGAAAGCATCGCTGTTAGGATGGTTCTGGTTATTGCATTCAGGTTGCTGCCTCCTGGGTGTACCTACTGTCCTTTTCTTGCATGAGTCATAGCAAATTTGGTGTTCTGTGTTCTTGTTTGGGGATTATTCCTGATACAATATCAACCTGTCTGCTTTCCTCTGTCCTACTTCCCAGGCTTCTTGGGCCAGCTGCATTTTCATTCAAAAAACTACTTCACACCCAAAATAAGTAAAGCTCAGAGCAATCTTTGAGTCAGTTGGGCCAGGTAGCCAGCAGGTGGCGGAAGGTTCTCCTGTCACTCCTGGGGCTGGCATGGATAATTGTAAGGGGCCTGCAGTGGGCAGATGAGCATGAATCCAGATTTGCAGGGATGTGCTTGTCCCCTGGATTCACAGGCTGTGTCTCTCTCTGCCTCAGGAATGGCCAACTTGCTGACAGGCCCCAAGCGGAACCTGATGGCCCTGGCGCGCACGTGGTGGAATCAGTTCAGCGTGACGACTCTGCAGCTGCTGCCAGCCAACCGAGCCGTGTGTGGCTTCCACCTGGGCTACCTGGAGGGCGAGGTGGAGCTGGTCAGCAGTGTGGTGACCCGCCTCCTCGCTCTATACAACCAGGGCCACATCAAGCCCCGTATTGACTCCGTGTGGCCCTTTGAGAAGGTGAGTGTGATGGCTCTGCAGAGAGGGCCTGGGTAAGACACCCAGGAAGTCCCCAGAGGAGGAATCCGGGGAGGAGGAGGGCTGACCCCTTTAGGCTGGCTGCTGGAGGAGCTGGATGGCGCTGAAAGCAGAGTCTTATCTTCCTCTCCAGGTGGCGGATGCCATGAGGCAGATGCAGGAGAAGAAGAATGTGGGCAAAGTCCTCCTGGTGCCTGGGCCGGAGAAGGAGAACTAGGCCAGGGGCTAGGCAACCCTCGGGGCCCGGGAAAGAGAGAAGTTAGGAAGCCATGTGCTGTTGGCCACCAGACCCTCACTGTTCGGATCATCCTCTGTCACCACACGTTGCCCTCTCTGCCCGCAAGTTCCCCGTGGTGATGACCTCTCCCCTGCCCTGTTCTTTCTCTTCAGTCAGGGCTTCCCCCTCCCGCCTTCCTGCCCTCTGAAGAGGGTGGGAAGTGACCACTTGGATGTCTGGGCCCTGCCAAGGGGACAGGGAGGGTCAGAGGGAGGCAGCTGCTTCCTGCCCCCACCCTTTCCCCAGGCCCACTGTGCTGCTTTTGTGCCAAGATTAAGGTTAGCCAGTTCCTTCCCGTCCTGTTTCTGTGTGCTTCCGCCTACCCCTCATCGCCCGCCATGCCCCTGCCCCACACCTCCCCAAAGAAACAAAATGTCAGCTCAGGATATGGGGCCAATCCGTGTGAATCCAGCATGTCCCTGTGTCGCCCTAGTGTCCCTTCAACCCGGGCCAGCCAGCGCCCCCACCTTGTCGCAAGGCCTCGTCCTGTCGCCAACTTCTCGAGCACAATCGGGCTGCTCCCACCTCCAGGTGTTCTGCCACTCTCAACCAGAGGTGCCTCTTCCAACTGGGGCGGGAGTCAGACCAGCCCCCCTCTGTGGGAGGGACGTGGAGCCCCCTCAGCCCTTCACTGAGTTCTCTGGATTTGTTCTCAGTGCCTTAGCAATGGAAACCTTGCTTGTGTATGTGGGGGTCCCTGCCTCACACCTCCTCTTCCCCCGTCCTCCCCAGTGCCTTCCTTGTTCTGCCGGAGCTGGGGTTTCGCTGCTCCCCAGTCCCACAACACTGCCAAAAATCCGTGTGTGTGCCAGTGGGTGGGGGGCCAGCCCCTAGCCTCCTGGGGCCTGGGCCATGTCCTGTCTCTGGGGCTGTCGTTTCTCTGTGGTGGTGGAGGAGAAAGAGGTGGGGGAGCTTTCCCTGCCTTGCAGCTAAGTGTGGCATTTACCAGCCAGAGCTCTGAGAGACCATGCCATCTGTGTGTTGTTCTGGGACCAGTGTAAAAATCAAAGCACATTCCCCCTGTCGTCAAGGGAGGCCCACTGCGTCCTCAGAGCAGGGAGGCAACTTTTCACAGTCAGCCCCAGACTTTGTTTATGTGGGTGAGGAGATGAAATAGGGGTTCAAAGTGGGGTGGTTTAGGACCTGGGCCACTGGAACCAAAGTAGGGACTTCCTGGAGCAGGGGTACAGTAGGTCCCTCTGCCCTGGGATCTGGGATGAGGGAGGGTTATTGCCCGAGCCATTGCCAATGGGAGGTGAGGGGGAGGGGCTCAGCCTCTTCATCATCTGAATGAGGCCAAATAACATGTGAAGTGCGATTGTTTTCGCTTCTGTGTACCACCCCATTACCGAAGCTGCCTTTGTGTTTGTGTCAATAAAACGCCAAACCCTGCGTCCTGGATCCTGCCTCTGATAGTGAAGGGGAAGGTGAGCTTGTGGAAGGCCAGCACAGCTAGCGGAAGGCTGGGGTTTCCCCCTCCCCCAGCCTCCTTCCATGCCCCGATCAAGTTTCCTTTTACGAAGTGAAATGAGGAAGAGGATCACGCCAGGCAGGCACTTTTACTGTTCTTGGGCAGCATTTCATCGCTCATAATACCTCCCTTCGTTGACCAGCGTCATCACTTTCTCCTGTACATGCCTCCAGCCCCAACCTGGTTTAAGAGCCTTGGCAGAGAGGTGGGCTTGATGAGTAGGGCGGGCTCCTAGCCTGACTTCGAAGTGAAGACTGCCAGGCCCCGCTGTCCCGGGGGCACGACTGTCACAGCTTCTACCTCCCCACCTCCACGGGTGGGTTTCTGGAAGTGGATCTCCAGGATGTCTTGTAGCTCTGGGCTGTCCAGGACATCGGGAATGTTGAGCACCAGCACGGACTGGGGCACAGGCTGGGGCCTGACCTGGAAAGGGAGCCGGGAGACGGGCAAAGGCTCATGCGAGCTGGGCTTGGAGGGGGAAGATGTCGGGGAAGGTGGTGACCCTGGGGGTATGGGAGGGGGCAGAAGGCCTGGAGAGGTGGGAAGTGGATAGGTCAGTGGGGTTTTGGGGCTGTGATCCCTCCTTGAGCAAGTTTCTGGTGTGCAGACAGGTGGCCTGGCCCAGTCCCCATCTTCACCTTCCCACTTACCTCGGCCTTCTGGATCTTCCCGCTCATGTAGGGAGAGACTGTCAGACAGGACTGCTGCTTACCCAGTGGCACTGTGAACTGGCCCATCTGGCACAGGTGCTGGGCCACTGCAGGGACAGGGAGCAGGAGACCTTCAGCATCCAGGGCTCTCCCCTCCCGTGGCCTGATGCCCCTGCTCTCACTCACCAGCAAGGCCCTTACCTCCATCCTCAGTAAAGCCCAGCATGACACCCCCTTGCAGCAGTTCCCTCATCTCCACGTCACCACCTCCATTCTTGGTCTTGCCAAAGAAGATCTCCAGCTTGTCCAGCAGCTCCTCCTCACTTAGCTTGAGCTCGGCAGGAAACCCACTGACCAGCACTCTCTGGTCATTCTTCCGGCTGGACACCTGGGGAAAGACAGGAGGAAGTGGTCCCGGGCACAGCCCAACACCCTTGTGCTCAGTGCACGGGGCCCCCTGCGGGTCCCAGGGCCCTGCCACTCTGTCACCTGGATGCTGGTCAGCACGGGTAGCTCCAGGGGCTGGACTTGAACCCTCAGCCGGAACCCTTCCACGTTGATCTGATGCTCCTTTTGCTGCAGCACCTGCTTGGCCACTGGGGAAGGGGAGCAGGGTTGGTCCTTGAAAGTCTCCCAGCCTCCCTCCCAGGGTCTCCTGGAGCTCACCATTGGGGTCATCAAAGGTCACCAGAGCAGAGCCTCCAGGCAGAGGGTAACAAATCCGCACATGGGAAACCACAGACTTGGCCGTTGCCTTGCCCTCCTGAAAGTGTCCTCGGAACACCAGGGGGGACTCGGGCACAGGGAATGGGACCTGCGGGTGGGGGAGGAGAGGGTGATGCAGACTTCAGGGTTGGGGAGAGCCTCCCCACTCTCTCCTAGGAGGGAAGCACCCCTGATTATATGTAACTGATGCTGAGTGCCAGGGATTAATCCTGAAGCGAGAGCTGGATGAAGAAGTGGAGTAAGTGATTAAGTGGATAAGGTCACACAGCAAGGAAGTGGCAGGGCCAGGAGTGAAATTAAGACTTCCCCAACTTTCTCTACCAGGCCACACCCCCTCGAAGTTTACCTTGTCTTGGGGGCAGTCCCTGAGATTCCTCTGCAGCTCCTGCAGCTCCTGCAGCCTTATCTTTAGTCTGGCCTGTTCCTCCTGAAGGGCCTGGAGAGCCTGTTGGAACAGAGGGGGAGCAACCAGAGAATGAATGAACCTGGGGAAGGGCGCCACACTCTTTAGGACTCTCCAAGAGCAGGGCTGATGCTCAGCCTGAGAACAACCCAACCCATTTACCCTGGCCTGGGCTTGAATGCCCTCATCTCAGCTGCTCTGAAGGGCAGGAGCCTTTGCAGCAGCCGTGGCTGGGTCATTCCTGGAGCCCTAGAGTTTAACAAATGCAGACTTTCCTGGTGAGTCCAGTGGTTGAGAATCCACTTTCCAATGCAGGGGATGCGGGCTTGACCCCTGGTCTGGGAACTGAGATCCACATGCCACAACTATTGAGCCTGCGTGCACCACAAGCAAAGACCCAGCATAGTCCAAAACAGAAAACATCGATTGAGCTCCTGCTATGAGTGACTGGGCATGACACAGGGCAGTGGAAGACAAAGGTCCAGCCCTCAGGCCTGTATAAGATGGTACTCAAGACAGTTCACAATCACACAAATGATGGTGGAGGACAGCAGGAATTTGGAGGAGGGAACGTCCTGTAGGGGTTAACACAGCTAGGGAGACCTAGAGGAGGAATAGGGGCTTAGAGTTGTAAGATAAGACCATCAGCTAACATTTATTAGGCACTTACTGTATATCAGGCACTGTGCTAAGCCCTTTATATGAATTATATCACTCACATCTTGCAACAACCTTATGAAATAAGTACACTCTTGCCCTTATTTTGCAGAGGAGGAAACTGTAGTTCAGAGAGATCAGATGACTTGCTCACAGTCATCCGGCCTTAGGCAGTCTGACTCCAGACTCTTAATCTGTGCTTTACAGTGAAGAAATCAAAGTCGGAATAGGGGAGCAATTTACCCAAGATCTCCCAGCCTGTCCCATGACTGCCACCCTTTCCACTGTGCCAAGCAGCCTTTCAGACTGGGCGTGATTTGGGGCAGGTCCAAAGAGAGTGAGAGCTGACAAATAGCCAGGGGAATGACACCAGGGATGGGAATAAATGCACCTTTGTTTGTCGGGTGGATCGCTCACTCTGCAGTTGGAAGCCTGATAAATAAGGTCAGCTCAGGGAAGTGTGAGGTCTCTGGGGAGGACGGGACTCTGTCCTGGCCATCTCTGTGTCCCCAGCACAAAACAGGCATTCAGTAAATTGTGTGTTCAATGACGTGAACGAACGACATAATGGAAGCATATTACACAGGGTGCTGAATCATTCAGGGTGAGTTCACTCTGTTTTAAGCAGACGAAACCCAGGGCTGGACCAAATAATGCTGGGTAATGAGTAGTGAGAAATAATCAGTGATTCTCAGGGGCAGTGAGATGACATCCGTGAGTCAGGGGAGGCCGTGTAGTGTCATGTGGAGAGGTGGGGACTCTGACATCTTGGAGACAGCATGTCCCCACTAGAGTGGCAACCCCATCTTGGCTCTAGCCAAGTTTTCTTCACATGGAATGTGGTTTCAGTATCCTATATCTTCCCATTTCTAAGGGAAATCAGAAACCTAGATTTTTTTATTTGAAAAAGATGGCTTGACTTTAAAGAAACATGACAAATAAAATGCATTCTTGAATTGGATTCAGTCCTTAACCTATCCTCTTTTTACTTCTGCTTTAAATCTTGATCTAATTAGACATGTTGTTTGAAAACCTAGTAATTGGCAAGGCTATTCAATACGTAGCTTTAAATAAGTAAATTTATTTGTTTTTAAAAGCTTCATAAATACAATTAAAAAAATATTCACGCAGGGGAGTTTATCAGCAGGGAAATGGAGAACTAGTGAAGATTTCTGAAAGGGGGAGTGAGGTGATGGATACACTGTTTAAAAGAGCTCAATTTGCCCATCAAAAAATGGGCAGAGGACCTATATAGACATTTCTCTGAAGAAGACATACAGATGGCCAGGAGGCACATGAAAAAAATGCTCAACATCACTAATTATTAGAAAAATGCACATCAAAATTACAATGACCTCAGACCAGGTCAGAACAGCCATCATGAAAAAGTCTATGAATAATAAATGCTGGAGAGGGTGTGGAGAAAAGGGTGTGGAGAACCCTCCTGCACAGTTGCAGGGAATGTAAATTGGTACAATCAGTATGGAAAACAGTATGGAGGTTCTTTGAAAAACTAAAAATAGGGGCCTCCCTGGTGGTCCAGTGGCAGGGGATGTGGGGTTGATCCCTGATTGAGGAACTAAGTCCATGTGCCGCAACTACCGAGCCCTTTCGCCGTAACTGGAGTCCATGTGTCTCAATGAATGATCCTCATGATGCAAGGAAGACCCCACATGCTGCAACTAAGAACTGACCCTGACACCACCAAAAAATAAACAACTAAAAATAGAGTTACCCATATCATCCAGCAATGCTGTTTCTGGACATACATCCAGAAAAGATGAAAACTCTAACTTGTGAAGTTTTCACTGACACACGCAGCCTAACGTTCATAGGAGCACTCTTTACAATAACCAAGACATGGAAACAAGTTAAGTGTCCACCAATAGATGAATGGATAAAGATGTTTTATACACACAATGGAGTATTACTCAGTCATAAAAAGAATGAAGTAACACCATTTTGCAGCAACATGGATGGACCTAGAGATTATCACACTAACTGACATAAATCAGATGAGAAAGACAAATATCATATAATATCACTTATATGTGGAATCTGAAAAAAAAGATACAAATGAATTTTTGACAAAGTGAAGACAGACATAAAGAACAAACTTACAGCTATCAAAGGACAAAAGGGGTGCCAGAGAGATAAATTAGGAGTTTGGGATTAGCAGATGCACATTACTATGAAGAAAATAGGTAAACAACAAGGATCCCTTATATCACACAGGGAACTATATTCAATATCTTATAATAACCTATAATAGAGAAGACTCTGAAAAAGAATATGTATATATGTATAAGTGAATTATTTTGTTATATACCTGAAGCTAATACAACATTGTAAATCAACTATACTAAAAAAGAAAAAGATTTCTATCTGACAGTGATGGCAGGATGAACGGGAGCAGCAGGAACTGTGGAATGAGGAAACAAACCCAGACTCTGCAGCTCTAATTCTCACAGATGTGACAGGAGCTGACCTGAGCCTCTGGCGGTAGGCACAAGGAACACGTGCGGGTGAGTATGTCCCTTGAGGAAAAGCCCCCAGACTCTGGATGCTGTATTAAGGAGACAGAGGGGACAAACTGGAGAGAGTGCTGAGGTTGCAGACCTGGGTGTTCAAGGGTTTGGTATATCATTGACCCAACAAGCAAGGGAAGAGAGGCAGTAGTTATTGGGAACCTGCTAAATGCCAGGCACAGTTGGGATCCATCCCATTTAAGTATCATGAAACTGCTTCCTATCTCCAATTCCCAGCTGAAACTTCAGACTTTTCAAGGACAACATAGGCTGATTATAGTGATTTACTTGAATTCAGAACTTCCCTGATAGCTCACTTGGTAAAGAATCCGCCCGTAATGCAGGAGACCCCGGTTCAGTTCCTGGGTTGGAAAGCTGTCCTGGAGAAGGGAAAGGCTACCCACTCCAGTATTCTGGCCTGGAGAATTCCATGGACTGTATAGTCCATGGGGTNGGACTGTATAGTCCGTGGGGTGGCAAAGAGTTGGACACGACTGAGCAACTTGCACTTGAATTCAGCTATACATGCTATTTACTTCCTTAACATTATAACTTGGTCCCTAAGTGGAAGCCAATATCTGTCAGGTGCTCAACTGAAAAAAAAAAATTGCTATCCACTTTATATTGAGCTTATTGAGACTGTAAATTCTGGAAACTTAGGAGTGAGTTAATGATTTGAGGTTCATTTAACTACATGCAATCATTCTTCAGAATGCTGAAGCTGAAGCTCCAATATTTTGGCCCCCTGATGCGAACAGCCAGCTCAATGGAAAAGACCCTGATGTTGGGAAGGATTGAAGGAGAAAAGGAGAAGAAGGAGGCAGAGGATGAGATGGTTGGATAATATCACCAATTCAGTGGATGCAAACTTGGGCAAACGCTGGGAGACAGTGATGGACCTGGAGGCCTGGCATGCTGCAGTCCTTAGAGTCGCAGAATCAGACATGACTTAGGTACTGAACAATAACAACAACAATTGCATTCTCCTCCTTATTTGTGAAGTTTAGAACCTGACCACCCCTACGGTAAAATCTCATGCTACCTGTGTTCATCATAGCAGTATTGGCAGGCGGTGTAACATAACAATTAAGAACATAAATTCTGGGGCCAAACCTCCAGGACTTACATCCAGCTGTTCCTACTATTGCAAGACAATGGACAAGTTGCTTAACTCTCTGTGCCTTGGTTTCATTTATAAAATGGGAACACCAATTTCTATCTATGTATAATTTTATTTGTAAAAGTAGTTTCTGGTATATGATGAGTGCTATGTTAAATGTTTTGTATTTAATAATCCCCATTTGATAGTTAAAGAACCTGAGATCCCTTAAGGTTAAATAATAGAGGGAGTTTCCTGGTGGTCTAGTGGTTAAGATTCTGGACTTTCACTGCCATGGCCTGGGTTCAATCCCTGGTCAGGGGACTGAGATCCTCTAAGCCAGTGGTCCCCAACCTTTTTGGCACCAGGAACCAGTTTCATGGAAGACAATTTTTCCGTGGACTGGGGAGAGGGGTGGTTTGGGGACAATTCAAGCGCATTACATTTATTGGGCACTTTATTTCTACTGGGGCTTCCTGGTGGCTCAGACGGTGAAGAATCTGCCTGCAATGCAGGAGATCTGGATTCGATCCCTGGGTTGGGAAGAGCCTCCTGAAGGTGGGCATGGCAACCTATTCCAGTATTCTTACCTGGAGAATCCCATGGACAGAGGAGCCTGACTGGCTACAGTCCATATGGTTGCAAAGAGTCAGACATGACTGAGTGACTGACATTATTTTTATTATTATTACATCGGCTGCACCTCATATCATCAAGCATTAGATCCTGGAGGTTGAGGACCCCTGATACAGATTATC